GCCGTCTTTCCGAAGACAAAACCGATGCAGACATGTTTTAAAACATACTAATTATATTTGAATGGTTTTGAATTTTACCTAACTTCAACTTATTTGGGAGAACAAAAATTATAATATAATGGTGTGTATAAACAAATAATATAAAATTATAATGAAATTCATCAATTCTTTAAAAAACTTATAAATTCAATTAAGAACATAAAACAAGAATCATTTAACCATGAAAAATAGTAAAGATATCAATTTTTTAATTAAAAATAATCTCTTTTTTTTCAAAATATCTCTATAAAAAAATATTTATCCTATAAAGAATTAGAAGTCTAATAGAATATTCCTAATAAATATGGATAAGCTTAAATAATAATAATACAATAAACTCAAATTTAAATAAAAACCCTAGTATATCTAAAAGACCTAATAATAACCAAAAAATAAGTAAAATAATACTTTAACTAACTTAAATAAAACTGAAGTTATTTTTGTAATTTACTAATAAAATCAAAGCTCAAATTCAAACTCATATATTACTGGAAATATATAAATATCTAATTTTTAATGGAAATGAAATCGTATTAAAATTTATTTTGTAACTTTAATTATGACTCAAATAATAGCAAAAGGTTGAGACCGACAAATCTAATTTTTTTTTATTCTAATCTTTTTGTAATATTTAAATGTTCATCTATAATTTTTTCTTGAACATAATTAAATTAATTAGAACTTATATTTTATTATTTAATATCTTTTTGAAATTTACCTTATCACATATATCTAGAATTTAAAGTTGAATAACTCTAAAATGAAAAAATAAAAAGATTTAAAAGAAGCTTTTGTCAAACAAACAACATGAACTCAAATTAGAAGTAACTTCAAACAAGATTGACCTTTAAATAATATATAAAAATAAATAAATAATGAGTTGACCACAAAATATGCTTAAAGATTATGTGAAGTGATAACTTTAATATTCTTTTTTTTTCTTATTATTCATGAAATTTTTAATCAATCATCATGATATTTGGGTATGATAATATTGTCATTTTATAAAGTAATAAGTTAAAAATATTTTTGAGTTCATCACTCTATGAAAATAATTGATTAAAATTTATTTTGATCACTTTATAAAAATAATTAATTAAAATTTACTTTAAATAGATTGCTTTATAGAAATACTACCCTTCAAGTTCGAGATGGTTACTTTATAAACCCACCATATTTTTATTTATCTATTAGGATGATAAGGAAATGGACAAATAATAAGTTAAAGCCAAACTCTTTTATCATGATATTTTGTGGTCAAATTCTCAAATGAGAAAAATCAAACTAAATTATATAATTAATATAATATATTGTGTTAAGTGTGGTTGTCTCTAGTTGAGATCCTTTTTATTATGAAAAAATTCGATTTCAAGATAATCTTGTTTATTTTTATTTATGAAAATTCAAAAATAAATCCTTTTATTTTTATTTGTGAAGATCTCGATATGATTCGTTTTATTTTTAGTTATATATGGATAATAAAATTATCTCTTTAATTTTTAGTTGTTTGGAACCTAAAATAATCTTTTTCATTTCCAGTTATATTTTGTGTGGATCTCAAAAGGATCCTTTTCAATAAAAAACAAAGTTTTCTTTTTCCTGTAGTATCTTTCAATTCTTTAAAAACTTATTATATAAAATCAAAGAAAAAATAATTTTTTTCAATATCTTGTTTTGTAAGTATTCTAAAAAGATGATGAGAGGATTTTTATAACCAGGGATGGAGCCAAAACACTTTTTAGAAGAGGCCAAGGTTAGGAGAATTCTTTTAGAGGGGCCAAGTCTTAAATTTTACTAATTTTGGCTCTAAAATTTTAAGTTGTTCGTCATAACTCATTTTTTACTCTTTGTTTTTAAAAATATTTTTGAAAAATAAAATAAAATAATTAAAAAGTGAAATAGTGATCAGGAAAGAAGAAAGAACAAGACAAATGTGAGAGGTTAAGTTCATCTCTAAAACAATTTAAGGATTACGAAGAGAAGAGATGGGGAGATTGAGATATAAAATACAAGAGAAAATAGGGTAAAGATAAGAACAAAGAATTCGGGATTCTCTGGTTAGTAGAGAATGGATTGTAAATAGACCAGAGAATCTCGGATAAAAAAATGAAGAGGAATCGGATAAAAAAATCAGATGAGCCTGAAAGAAATCACACATAAACTTTCACAAGACAAAAACTAAGAGACATAGGAAAAACTAGGGGGAGAAATAAAAAAAAAATAACTCAAAAGGAGAAAAACAACAAAATAAATTATTTTCTTCAAAAGAATCTCAGTCCAAATTCAGTTGCCATCCTTTTACCAGCCCTAAAATCTGAGGAAAGCAGCGTCAATCCAGACACCTCCACATCAGTTGATCCTCCTTGCCCATCGACAAAACATGGCGCAAACAAGCTTCAGCGCCGATTAAACTAGTAAAGGGAGAGGAAGAATGGCCAAAGCTTTTTGAGTCTATATCTTCTATTTTAGACGATGTTGAATAGCACCGTCAGCGCCGATCCAAGTGGTCACGCACTTTCTTAGTCGTCGGAGAATGCAAATCGACACGGAATTCGCCTAGCCCATCAGCGCGTACGAGACACGTGCCTCTATTGTTTCTATCATCCTCGCTCCAACACGAGCTCGGCCCGCACCGCTACTATTTCTGGTATTTTTCTATGTTTTCCAAAGGTAAAAATGTCATTTCTTCTCCTGTTTTATTATTTATTTGATGGATTTTCATATTTGAATTTTTCTCATTTTTGTGTGGAAGTTTGATCTTTACGTTTAGATGCGTTTTTTTATTTGGGAAAAAGGTTACACTAATTTTTTTTGTAATAAAAACGGTAAGAGTATTCTCACATATATTGAGTTTTGTGTGGAATATTATGAAATGATAGAAGCTTTGACAAACCTTTGTATAATCTTAAACAAACCCTATCCTTCAAAAATTTAAAAAAAAAATTGATATGTTTTAAAATATATGAATAAGATGTAAGGGTTGAAGGGTGTCATTGACAAGTACATTTTTATTCACTTTTATATCTTACAATAAATCGTTATTCTATCAGCAAATTAGTCTTTGAGCTGCCAACATTCATTTAAAAAAAAACATATATCATGCAATTTCTACTTTTTGCCTTCATTTTTTTGCAAATATTTGTTTAGATTTTTTTTTTTATATGCTGGATACATTACCCCATCATAGTAAGTAAACTCAAGCCGGGTAACAATGATTCTAAAAGGGCCCATTATGTGCGAGAATGGCCTCCAGGATTTATTTTTTTATGTAATTAAATAATTAAGCAATATCATCCTTTTACATTCAATTCCTGAATGTTAAAAGTAAGAATTGAACCTTGTTGACAAGGACAAGTCCCAAATCGTTGTCTTATATTTATTGATCATTTATCTTCAAAAAAGATACATTAGCTTAGGTAAATATTTAATGAGAGCATAATAGATTTTTTTTGTTAAAAAAAATAAACAAACAATAATACAGTTTACCTTAAATAAAAATAAAATATATAGAATAATTATTATATTTTATATTATATAATCAGTCATTTTACTTAAAATTTTAAAACTAGTTAGAATTTTAAGTTATTATAAAATTAAATAACTTTTTTTTTATTCATTCTACCTCTAATTCATTAAGATATTTGAAGTGATAAAAGTCAACGACCATTTCTACATGAATTTATAATGCTATTTTAATTTTTAATTTTTTTCTTTTGATCTTTAAATTTTTTTCCTCAATTATATTTTTTTGTTGCCATATTAAATCTTTTTTTTTACAAACATAAATGGTCGAATTTCATACAAAAAAATCATTTTAGACCCCTATTTATTTTTTTGACAACCTTTTCAATTCCTTTAGTCTCTATAATTTTATTTTTGGTTTATAACTTTATTATATTTGATTTTTAGCTTTTGATTTGAGGGAGGAGAGAAAAAATTGCCAAAAAACAGATAAAAAAAATAAAAAGTTATCGATTTGACCTATTTTTAACAATAAAAAACATGAAACCTAGTGTCAACAAGTTTTATTCTACTAGAAGAGTTCCATTGAGGTGTTATTTGATCCTCATCTTACTAGATAAAAGAAGATTATGATCAAAAAATATAATTTTTTGGGTTTAATTTTATATTTTTAAACTGATTTAAAAAAAAATTTAATTGATAAATTGATTTATTAAAAGTTAAAGATGCTTATTAGGTGTTTTGATATTAAAATAGCTTGAAAGTGGATCTTAGACTCAAATTAATCAAACCTCAATTTTTCAATTACCTTTTAGGTGGTCAGAATTTGAAGAATCAGATAATGTATCATATCATCAGTTATTTTTTTTAAGTAGAGATATAAAAAAAAATTTAATCATATGCATCTGATCCTTTTATATTTTTTTTTATTTACTAGATTTAGATTTAAATGCACTAAAAAAACCTTGAAATGATATTTCAATTATTATTGTATTTTTTTTCATGGTTCACTTATAATGTTTTAGGTTTTTATGAAAATGTTAACAATTTGTTTTCAATTATTACGTATTTAATATGGAAAAAAAAACAAGTTTAGAAATATTCAGTTTTTTTTTTAGTTTTCTAATGGATTTTTTATATAATTTCATCAGTTTTTTAAGAAAAACAGTGATTGCAATCAAATAACATATTTTTGCTAAAACAATCAAGAGAGATGTGTTAATAAATGAATGAGGTTCAGATTGGAGGGATTCATTTTTTTTACTTATTTCAAATGAGTTAAATTAAAAATAAAACCCTTTATTTTTATTTTTCCCAACTTTTTATTAAAAAACATGGCAAAGCAAATTAATAAGATAGCAAGGTTTTAATAGAAGAATTTTTTTTTTATCCTTATCACAAATCATCTCTGTTTTTTTTTTTTTGGTTTAGTCTCGTTGCTTCCAAGTCTTGCTTCCGAGTAAGAACCAATGAAAAAATGTGTTATTTCATGAGAAACTATATTGATAAGAAAAGCATGAATTATGCAAGAAAATTACCTTTTGCATTGGAGTTGAAATTGTTGTTTTTCTTAAAAAAAAAACAATTTTATTATTAACACATAATTCTCTAGCAACTTTTCAGCACAATAAAGATTTTTCTTTGATGGTTAAAAACACGTTGCCAACGTTTGTAACTTTTTATAGCATTGTAAAAAAAAAATTGAAAAAAAAAGAGAGATTGACCCGCTGGTATCGCTAGCAAGCTGACAAAGGCCAAAATTGAGATGAAAAGGCAAAAGGAGACAACAGCAAGTTATGTCATGTCCTTGATCTGGAAGCAGTTGATCAACGGATTAAATTATGACAGTAATGATGATGAAATGCAAGAGTACAAATAGTGAAGAAAAAATTAACAAGAAGGTATTAAATGAAATGCTGTCAATTTAATGTAGCATTTTTGTAGTTTCATAGTTGCTAATATTATACCATACTCCTTGTAGGTTTCTTTGTTGCACATTGAACAAAATCCAGGGAAGTGTCTTTGAAGGGTCTAATATTTTTACTACCAATCTTGAGTTCGGGGGTGATTAGAAATGTAATAGAAATTACTTTTTAAAATGTTTTTTTTACTTGTAAATGTATTTAAATAATATTATTTTATTTTTAATATTAATATATTAAAACGATTCAAGAATGCTAAAGCAAAATAATTTAAAGTAAAAACAATTCATAAAATGCAAGATTAACTCTAATAACAAACACCCTTTGAGAGCATTTAAAAATATAATAATTATTATTTTTCAAAATATTTTTATTTTAGAAATGAATCAAAATATTTTTTTTGAATTTTGAATTTTATTTTTAATATAACAATATAAAAATACTAAAAAAAAAACAGATTGAAACTCATTTTGATATCGTCTACCAGTGCAAGTAAATATTCTAATCAAACAAACTGCTTGGACTAGTAAATGCTATTTTGACCCAACCGATCTACGGACGCAGGTTGCCTAGAATCTGGGGACGTGACAGGGCATCGCGTGCTTTGCGGGAAGCTTTTGAGGAAACTGGTTTGCTTCCCTTTTCTTTGGCTGGAAACGTTCTGCATGCATCAGTTGTTTTTTAATTCTACGAAGATTAAAAAACAAAAAATAAAAACAAAAGCGGAGAAAAGAAAGAAAGCTTCACTGATTTCTTTCATTTTTTTTTTTTGGTGGTGCAGACTTGCAATCAGAGTTATAGCCACAAGAAAGCTTTCACTAGAATAAACCAATGTACAAATACACAGTGGCCTGACCTAAACCCTCTCAACTCCACCACAATAGTAACAAAACAAGCTGATTAAACAAAACGCATTACAGAACCTTTCCTTCTTCACCAGGGGGGCAATACCAATACAAGCTTGAGCAGCTAATTTTGCAGAGATGCCCATGGGGCAGGCATGCCAACCTACCACTCTACTCTATTTCAAACACTGCTTACATCTTTCAATGGAGAACCAGCTCTTAGACTTACAAAATATACTTACCGAAAAAGCATAATATCAAAGCCAATTTATGTTCAATTCTCCAGCTTCATTGTAATCACCAATTAAATATTAAATATATTACTATTTCGAGCATGTCAGCCATTTGAGTCTGATAATAGAGCAAGGACCTCACTCTCATCAAATTTGGACTCCACTGCAAGCTCAAGTGGGGTTTTATCTTTGCCATTGACAGCACGTGGATCTGCTCCCCTGCAAATGCATTAGGACCATTTAATAGCATTTCATGGATGTTAATTTTTTTTTTTTTTTGTTTTCCTTGAGGGGGGCATATGAGGAGGGGGGAATGGACGGAGCCATGAGGATATTAATGACGATAAACAGGAAACTGTGTGCACAGCACATGCCTAATGTAATCATGACCATCATGAACCAGTAAAATTCACCTTGTGAGGAGCATTTTTGCAAGTGCAGCTCTGCCTCTAAGAATACTACGGTGGAGTGGCGTCTGACCTCCCGAATCAGTTGAATTTATATTCGCACCATACTGTAAGAGAAGTTCTAGCATGCCAATGTCAGCAGTTTCACAAGCGAGGTGAAGCAAGGTACACCCATCAACATCCTCCAAGTTCTGGCCTTCAGTTGTACCTGGAAAATTTAAAGAGATGGTGGAAGACCTATCCAACGAATTCCCTGTTGAGTAGCTAGAGCAGCAATTGTCAGGGTTGGCCAGCTCTTGCAATAGCATTGTTTTAGCAAGTGTCAGGGAAGGGCTACAAGATGCTTGCTCATACACAGCACTGACATCTGCTTCGTGATTAACAATAAGCCGGTATACAGCCTTCTTGTCATTAGCACGAACAGCTTCCCAGATTTGTTGTGCCACTGACCGAGTATTTTGGTGGTCCCTTGGCTTGCGAACAAATGCCTTTTCTGCATACTGTCATCCAAAGGAAATAAAGATTTCATCTCCGACATGTCTACGCCAGTTTTAAAAATCAAGCAAATATCTCAATAATAAAGAGAAAAAACCATGAGCAATTATCTGCAACTAAACAAAAAGAGATTCTAAGAGTGAAAAGTAAGGACACAGTTTATTAGTTCAACCTTTGCATGGATAAACTTCTCCTTTATTGATATAGAGTCAGCAGGATTGGGCTTGCTGATAAAAAGCAGCTGGGGTTTATCCGACTTGAATGAGCTTCATCAGCAGAACATTCATGAATATTAGCAACATCTAATAAAACTAAATATGTATAGCTTGAGATAAAAAGGAATATTTAATTCGATCAAGACTAGGTCCTTTACCCTGAGGGGATGAGTTCAGCCTGCAAGGCACTTCTTGACTGCAATAATTCCTCCCAGACTGAGTTAGCAAAGGCATTTCCGAGAGACTGGAACAAACTTATGACCGAAGGCTCCCACACCTTGACATCAAGTGTAAGTGACCTTACCTGCAATTACATTCAACAGAAGATTAAGAGTCTGACAGATAAACAGGAAGAGTCTGACAGATAAACAGGCAGTACTAATGTCACTACTGGGTCTGGGATTTAATAATGGACATAACCAGAACACCTCCAAGAACAATATCGTCCATAATAATTAACATCTACCCAAACATAAAGCAGCTTTGCCAATTTATTTTCAGACAGAAAAGGGAGATAGATGCTTAGGCCCAGCATATTAGGACAATCTTCTGGTGGTTGATAAAAAGAAAAGTGAAAAACAGTAGCTCTTAAGAAGTTGATCAAGATGCTAAATCCTGTCCACCTAGCAAATATCCGTCACTCTCCTGAGTGTGGTTCGAATGAAAGGAACTGAGCGCAAACTGCGTATTTTATGTAATGATTATTCTAACTGCTCAAAGTAGATTTCATAGATACTGGTCTACATTGCCGTCCAATAGATGTTCGATACCACCCACATTCTTGCAACATTAACAGCATAGTATATATTAAGAAATATGGTTCAGAAAGCAACACTGTGAAAACATCAAATAATTAAACTTGGAAACAATTTTACCTTTGATATATGCACACCAAGATTACGGTGAACACCAGAACATTCAATGCAAACAAGAACTCCAAGATTTAAAGATGCCCAATCTGGTTCAGGGGCACCACAATCAGCACATTTATCATTTCCACAAACTCTTTGCAACACATCAATCGGCTTCTCTGCACTGGCTCGCTGCTGTTGTGAACTTCTCAATGCTCGTTCATGTAAAGCGGCAAGGCTCCTCTCAGATGTATATTCATCGACAGCAGAAGGATCAAAATCAGTACTTTCAAATGAACTACTCTCACTGGCAGACCGATGGTGACCACTTCCCAGGGGACTAGCCGAGAGACACTGAAATTTAACAAAACTACACTCATAAAAATTTCTATGACAATTAAATGTCAATAATGCTCTGAATAATTACCCTCTCAGGTGCTTGAGAGCTAAGTAGTGAAGCAATAACCCCAGTTATCTTTTCAATCCAATCCATTTGATCCAGTGCACTCTCTGCCTGCACTGACAAGCATAAATAAGCATTGTTAAGAATCTATTGCTTAAAAGAACCCTCAATTACACGTCATCTTATCCATCCCCGCCAGAAATCGACGATGGAGATTATATTTCAAATGCAAGGTAGCTTTTACATAAGTCACAGATACAAAATACATTCCACATCATACCTGCAATGTGTAGTTCTTTGTTGGTGAAATGATCCTGAAGCAAAATCGCAGATCTGACTGATCAGCATCAACTTTGATTGTTGATGTAAGAAGGTTCACAGTGTGATGAGCAACAGACTTTTCATCATGCACTCCACCATGATAGTGAGAAGAAAGCCACCGACCCAACAATCCAGATCCAAGCTCAGAGCTATTCCTTTGACCAGAAAGTTGACCCCCAGAACCCTAAAAGAACATATCAAGCATGATGATAAAAACCCAAAATATCAAGAACAGAATGAACTTCAAGCACTCTGCATGTAAACTTATTTTTCACATAAATTACTCACAGAAGGTTTGCTGCACTGTTTGCGATAGTAATAAAGCATTCCTCGGTTATCAAGAACAAAAAATCTTCTTTTCCAGTCACCTCTCAAGCTAGAGGATCGTTTTGACAGATAACCTTGTCTAATAGTTTGAACCTGAAAGTTTGCTTCTTGTTTTAGAAGATTTGCGTGGGAAAAAATAGGTCCGTAAAAGAAGTTCCCTCACAGGCATAAGAAATACCTTCCCCTTTGCAGCAGATTGCATAACAGCCTCTATCATTTTGTGTGAACTTCTACCAATGGCTTGTATACCATCTCCATTTGGAGATCCATTAGAACCATTGGAAGACCATCTACTCTCACGATCAATCTGCCTCTTGTACTCTTGCATCCTCTCATTGAGAGCTGCCTGCTCATAGTTAGACCTTTCTCTTGATTGTTGAGCATAAGTCAAAACCTAGAAAATAAGAAGTGGTGTGGTGTTTCCATAAGTCAAACATGCAAAAGCCTTAATACCATTCCTTTTCTTTTGTATTAATATCAAATATTTATGATTGGACTCATAATTTTTTCTCTCTTCTTTTTTCTTCTTTTTTTTTACCATTGTACGTGGCCATGTTTAATCCAGACCTTATAGTTATTAGACACACAATACTAATGACACATAGTAACTTCAGAAACAGTAGAAATTAATCAACTCAATTAATACCCATCAAACAAATTTAAGAACACAAGTGCAAGTTGAATACTTGGATATTTGCTAGGCATTGAGACAACCAACACTGCTGAAGTTTTGCCTCTGTACACATCCTCGTACTTGTTAATCTACTAACAATTACTTATGTTGAAAGGAGCCTGTTACTGTAGGGGGTTTCCACACTAACCTTCCACATTTACTTATATTGAACGGAGCCTTTTACTGTAGGGGGTTTCCACACTCACCTTCCTCACCATTCCAACATTCCAAAAGCTCTAATCTCCATAGGAGCACAAGATTTTCAAGCTTCTAGGTTTGTCAAAGCTCATATTATTGTTGGTTGCTCCTGAGAAATGCCATCCACGGTGCTATGGTATTTAGGCCACTTTGCTGGACTGTTCATCCACAGGCCCAACCTATAGGATGGAAAGGGGAGGCCAATTGTTGACCAAGAAACTCTGATACATCTCTTTTCGTTACCCTCCCTCATCA